CTTCTTCTCGTATGGCTGCTTGTCACCTGCTGCAGTATTATTCCACATTTCTCCAAGTTTCTTTGCAACATCACCAGTGGAGAGGCCAGGATGTTCTCCTTTCATTTTTGGGCGATACTCAGAACAGAAAAAGAAGAAGGCTGAAGGAGGTCTCTTGGGTGCATTGGGATCCTTGAACTTCTTTTTTGTTTCTCCTTTAGGAGGAATATAAGTTTTCATTTCTCTTTCGTAACGATCCTTGTCCGCTTTTGCCGTATCTTCAAATTTTCCTTTTTCTTTAGCAGACATGGTCTTCCACCTCTCTGAGCACTTCTTAGAAAACTCTGAGAAGTTAATGGAAGCATCTGGGTGCTTCTTCTTGTGCTCCTCTCGGCAAGTTTGCACAAAGAATGCATATGATGACATCTTGCCTCTCAGCTTCTTGTTTTTTTCTTTTTTGTTTTGTTTTGTGGTATCAAGGATCGAACTCAGGACCTTGCGCTTGCCAGGCAAGCACTTATTCCACTGAGCTATCTCACCAGCCACACCTCTTGGCTTCTTATGATCTCCTTTGCCCATGTTTACTTGTTTTCCTCAGCGAGGTACAGAGTCGCCCAGTGCCCGTCCGGCTCTCACTTGCCCCGGCGCTGTCTCTATGGAGCTCAATGTACTGCAATGGCTGTCTTCGGTACAATTTAATACAATTCTCAACTTCAAATCACCTGTGTTCATTTTTATTCTACTTAAATATTTATTTTATATTCTTTTTCTGGAATAAGAAAAAGAACTATTTTAAAGTTTCCTGAAAGAAAACTGTAACTTTCAATATAAGATATTAATAATAGTTTAGCTAAAGGAGAAGGGAAATAAAGGAGTTAGCTAAGCAAATGGGAAAGAAGATTTTTCAGTCTACATTTTCCTACTTTTTGATTTGAACCATGTAAAAGTAGGAATTAAATATCAAATAAAAGCCAGATATACTAATTCCAGCTGCTTGGGAGGCGGAGGTAAGATGATGGCAAGCTGAAGCCACGCTTGGACAATTTAGCAACAAAAAAATTAAAAGGGTTGAGTATGTAGCTCAGAGATAGAGTACTTGCCTAGCCATCACAAAGCCCCGGATTCAATACCCAGAACCCTCCCCAACACACAGAAAAAAAAAAATTAAAATATAAAAAAAAGTTAATTTTTGCATAACTTTCAAATGGTGGTTACAGAAACTAATTTCTTTGTAGTTTTAAAAAACAAGAAAGATTATTTGCAGAAGATCATCAGATCTGGTCTTGTCTACATCAGAAATGATTTTCTTATTTAAGCCCCTTTCCCATGCCTATGCAACTGTCTGCACTACCAAACCAGCTTCCACAGCCTTACATGCAACTCAACTTAATTTGATCCACCCTCCAGTGCCAGGAGACCTATTCTGTTAGTCTCCTACCAAACTCCTCAGTGGCTGCTTTCTAGATAGTTTTCAGTACAGTAGTCCACATTCTCACGTAAGGTACACCCAGCTTTCAGAACTGAAATCCATGCAAGTTTTCTTCCTTTTTCTCTCCTCTTGCACCAGCTTTCTCTAACCTCTGATAACCTCATGTTGTACATGCTGCTCACCCTACTCTGAACGCCTCTGCCCATTTCATCTTTCTCAAGATCCATTTATAAAATAATTTCCTTTAACAATCCTTTGAAAAATCTAACTAGATTTTAATGTTATTCATAGCATCAAGCATGGAGCAGGCACTAAGCTAAGAGTGCTTTACAATTTCAGTTTATGAATTACATACTACTGTGTATTTCATTTTAAGGATGAAGATATGTAAGCCTAGATAGATATATAAT